GAGCCCAGCGGTGACCCCAAACCCCAAACCCAGCTGCTGCTGCCTCCTTAGAGCCCAGCAGTGACCCCAAACCCCAAACCCCAAACCCAGCTGCTGCTGCCTCCTTAGAGCCCAGCGGTGACCCCAAACCCCAAACCCAGCTGCTGCTGCCTCCTTGGAGCCCAGCGGTGACCCCAAACCCCAAACCCAGCTGCTGCTGCCTCCGTAGAGCTCAGCAGAGCTCCGAGCTTTAGGCCAAGGCTTTGCCAAACCCAGCCAAAGCAGAGCCCCTTTGCTCTGCACGAAGCTTTGCAGGGACGAGGGGATGAGCCCTGACACCATCCCGAGCTCCATGGGTCCCCATCTCCCCCTGCCCTCAGCCCCCTGCCCACGTGTGCCAGGACCTTCAGCCCTGTGCCACATGTGCCAGGACCCTCAGCTGTGTGCCCATATGTGCCCATGTGTGCCCATGTGTGCCCACGTGTGCCATGACCACGCTGCAGCTCCCGGGACCTGCCCTGGCCTGGCACCCAGAAACGTGCCCAAGGGTCATGCCAGTTCCCAGGGAAGTGCACACTTTGTGTCCCCAGGCATTCTAAGGCTTCCCTGGATAAAATATTTCCCTGTGTTAATATATTTATCCACCCAGGTGTGCAGCTTCTGACGTGCCCTCGAGCAACTCCAGATGGCACTGCCAGTCCCGTTATCCAGCCAGGGCCAGCCTGGTGCTGCCAGCTGGGCAAGTGGAGCTGCACTAGGCAAAGCTCCAGCCTCAGACCTTATCTCCCTCACATCAGTAGTGTGTATGTCATGCTGGTACCTGCCATGTGTTGTTTGTATTTATTTATTAAGTAAATATGTCTCTTCTACAAGCTGTCCACAAGTGATTGCAGGCACCCTGAGGCTGTCCCAGTGAGGATGGGCTGGGGCAGTGGCACTGAGGGGTGTGAGGGTGTGATGTACAACAGCAAGGGGCTGCACGAGGGTGGCAGAGCATCCCAGAGGGATTCCTCCCCCTGCCTCCCTGTCTGGGCTCTAAAAGCAGCCCTGAGGCCCCTTGGTGGCTCCCAAACCCCCTGAGAAGCTGAGCTTCTGCACAATGCACATCTCCCAAGCAGCTCAAGAGCCACTCGTGCCAGCTGAGAACATCAGAACACCACGCTGCCACCCGTGGCAAACACACAGCTGGGCAAGACGGGGCCGCGAGGGCAGGCGAGGAGCCACACTTCCCAAACTCGGTGCTCACTCACCCTGCAGAGCTGAGCCGGCGCTCAAGGGAAAAAAGCGAATTAACGCCTGAGTGGGGCGTGCGGGTTTCTAATGAAGGCGGAAGGCTGGACCGTGCCCTGCTGGCTTTGGCTGCCTCGCACCGCCTCGTTAACCCGGGGCTCGCTCCTGCTGCTCGCATTGCCCCGCGGGCACAGCTGGGCAATGCCAACAGCTGCTCCCAAAAAATCTCCGGGGAGCCACGGGAATTGCTCCGGACCACGGACAAGGCAGCGCCGCCCGGGAAACCGCGCTCACCGCGGGGCGCTTGTCCTCGGTGAGAGGCAAAAACCAGAATGGCAAGGCTGAATCAAATCCCTGCACGTGAATCTTTCCCGGTGAGTGCTGTGAGCCCCAGCGGGATGTGAGAGGGCTGCTGGGCAGGGCCGGGCAGGGCGAGAGGCAGCGCGGGATAAAGGAAATTCAAATGAAATAATGAAATGAAATGAAATGAAATGAAATGAAATGAAATGAAATGAAATGAAATGAAATGAAATGAAATGGAAAGTAATGGAATGGAATGGAATGGAATGGAATGGAATGGAATGGAATAGAATAGAATAGAATAGAATAGAATAGAATAGAATAGAATAGAATAGAATAGAATAGAATAATAAAGTAAAATAAAATAAAACCACTCGGGAGTCAGGAATCCCGAGAGGCACCATGGAATAAAGGAAATAAATAAATTCAGCCCGCAGGCCGGCTCGGGAGCCACCGGGATGCCTGGGAGGCACCATGGGATAAAGGAAATAAAATAAATAAATAAATAAACAAACAAATAAATGCATAAATAAATAAACTCGGGAGCCGGGATGCCCGGGAGGCACCGTGGAATAACGGAAATAACTAAAATAAATAAAACTCGGCAGCTGGGATGCCCGGGAGGCGCCGTGGGACAAAGGAAATAGATAAATAAAATAAATAAATAAACTCGGCAGCCGGGATGCCCGGGAGGTGGCGGTGCCGAGGCGCCGGAGCTCGGGCCGGGAGCGGGGACCGGGCATCCCCCGGCGGCAGCGCCAACATCTGCCTCAGCATCTGGCGCACAAACGCAGCGGGACGAGCTGCAGCGGCCCGGGCCGCGGAGCTGCATTTCTATTGATTTCCTTCATTTCTGCAAAAGGAAAGCTTGGGCTTCTGCTGCTCCCCTGCTGGCATTTTGGGAAGGCTGCCGGAGGACACACACGGCTCGGGACAGGAGCTGTGGGACAGTTTATTTAATAAACCCTCCCTACAACATTCACAGAATATTATCAAGAACACAGAATATGCATTCTTTGCAGTTAAAAATGGCTGTGACGCTTATGATAGCGGCAAAATAGTTTCCGTTTGCCTGTTAGGGGTGGGGTGAAGCCGGAGCGGGGGCAGAGGGAAGCAGCGTCTGCACTCCAAAGCCTTTGTAGGTCTGTCGGAATGCTCTGCATGCCCTGGACACGTGCTGGCCACCCCGAGCTGGGGCAGCATCGCCCCCTCCGAGGCTCCAGCAAGGACCCAGGCAGCCCCACAGCCCCGGCCTGGCCCTGGCGATGCCCATCCCTGCAGCCCTCCCTGGCACTGGGGTGTGCCCCCGCCCCACGCACCCTCCACTGCACCCCAGAGCTCCCTCCCCACTGGCCCGAGCTTATGCCAAACCATTTTGGGATGTCCTGGCTGGGAGAGGCTCTTGGGACAGCACATCCATCCCCCTTTGTGCCCTGACCGCTTTTAGAGGCAGCATCTGAACAATTCCCGAGCTGAGGAGGGAGCTGGGGCAAACCTCTGCCCAGAGTAGCAGAACAGTGCAAATCTGTTTGTTAACGAGGAGCGATTTCCACCAGGAAGGTCCCGTTGGGAAGAACGGAGGGATTTGCTGAGCAAAACCCCCAAAACTCTGCCCCACAGCATCACCAAGCTCTGGCAGGCTGGGCTCTCTCTGCACGAGCAGCAATTTGTTCTGGCTGGCGAGGGCGGCTGGTGGCAAGTGCTAATCCCAGCTCTGGGGTCGAGCCCCGGCTCCTCCCAGCCGCTGAGCAGCCAAAAGCAGCAGCTTTTTTAATTTTGTGTGTAATCCCCACACAAAGAGGTGCTCACTGTGATGGGTTTACCTGCCTCATTCTCCCTGGCCCTTCCTGGCTCTCGGGGTTTCCCTTCCCACCGCCTCGGTGCTGCAGGAAACTCTGCTTCCCACATCAAGCAGCTTGTCTGCAGCAGGACAGGCAGATGAATTTATCCTGCTGAATTGCCCAGGCGTTTCCAGGATATGAATCCTCTGTCACTCACATCCTTCCCTGCCCTGCTTCCGGCGCTCAGCCGTGGCACATTTATCAATTTATCACCGAGGCACAGAGCATCTTCAGCCCCCTGCTCCCAAAGCACTTCCCCTGCTGCCATCCATGGCCAGAGGAGCCCTGAGGCTCCTGGTGACCCCCAAATCATCTCCCACCCACTGCCAGGGCTCATCCCTGCCCAGCACAGCCCCACCTCGGAGGTCCTGGCGGTGGGTACGCTTGGGACACACTCAAACACTCCCCACTCCCCCAAATTTACTGCTTTCTGCAGAAATTATCCCAACATGGGTTTCCTCTTCTTGCAGGAGAGAAGGTGGGAAGGACAGTCACACCCACATCTGCCAAATGAGCCAACCCCAGCAATGTGCCTCGATTAAAAATGGTTTCTAGGCTCAGACTAGCAAATGTTGGCCCCATTTGGGAGGAGGGGCTCTATCACAGATAGGCAGGACACTGGGCAGGACAATAATTTCCAGGCACAGCCATAGGGGTTGCAGCTTGATAATTCAGGCTGCAAGGTTTGTGCTCCTTGGAGAACAAGGCCTCAAGCTCCAAACCCTCCTCTCCAAGGACAGCCCCAGCTTTCCAAAGCAAACCCAAGCACAACTCAAAGCCATCAGAATCCAATTGCTGCTCACTCGAGCAGATCCCCCTTGTCACTGAGCATGGAAATTCAATATGTGGGAAGAACTTGCAAGAAAAAAAATGAAATTCTGTTTATTTTCTCAGCAGGAGTTTGGCCTAAACCCTTCACTTTTGGAAAGAGAGTCAGAAACTCTGTCACTTCTTTTTTTACCCTCCTTTAATTACTTTTCTAACCTAAATGAGAGCCAAGAGGAAGGCTTGGGGCACTATCACAGCATCGTTGGCCAGATGTACCCTGGCCAAAAATATGATTCCAAAATGAGACAGAGCACAATGAATTATAACTAAAATACCGTTTAACCAATTTTCCTTGGGATCTGGACAGGTTTTCTGCAATACAAAATAAATATTTTTTTTTTCCTAGCCAAACAACCTGTGGAAGGAAGAGCTTGGGAAGGGCATGAAGAGGATGTCAGTTGTCACTGACTCTGCTTTGTCCAGAGGGAAAGGCACACGGACACTGCTTTAGCTCCACCAACAGCCTGAGGAACCCTCAGCCCACGCTGCCGAGCTGGGTAACAGCTCCTCCACACGTCAGGCTGCAGCTCTGTGTGCACCACGGAGTTTATGTTGTTTGAAGCCCATCTAGACACAGAACCATTTCCTTCTCCCAGCCCCAGAGATTAACACTGTTCCACCGAGGAGCAGAGGGGTCCCCATGGCTCCTAAATGCCCTCTGCTCCCCCAGCCTGCTCTGGGCTGCCTTTCTGGAACAGATCTTCCTCCCTCCTAACGCTTGGGACACATTAATTCGTTCTGTGCCCATGGGATGGGTCCCAGTATGTGCAGAGCAGCTCCATGGACTGACTGGCTTCCCCAGCCAAGAGTTGTTTCATTCTGTTCTTCCAAACCCTTCAAAACCACCTCTTCTCCTTCCTCACTGAAATGCAGGTTTAGACCTCTTTTTTTCTTTTTTAGTAAAATCCTTTTTTGTGGTGTCCTTCACTGCTCTCTCAGGCTCTGCTGCCCGCTGCTGCCCACCCCATCTCCCAGCTCACCTGCCCCTGGAACCAACCAGAAATCACCCCCCACAGAAGGGTTAACCCAGCCTGGAGAGCTGCTTCTGTTTCTGCCCCGCTTTGCTGCCTGAACACCATCCAAAAGCAATTCCAGAGCACAACAACCACGGCCAGGAGCGCCGAGGGTCCGCAGGGACAGACAGACAGACAGACAGAGAGCAGCAGCATCGGCCACCCCGTCCTCGCCAGGATTTCCCCCAAGGCCATCTCCATTCCCAGACACAAACAGGTTTTCTTTCTGAAGCGCTGAGCCCCCATTCTGGCTGTCCCCCTGGCAGGCTGGGCTGCCTGGCCCTGTCCCCACACACTCCTTGTGTCCCTGCGGGGCACAGGGACCCCAGGGAGGCCAACACGAAGTGCCACCAGGACACCACGCCTAACACCGGCCAATCTCCCAAGAAGTGCTGAAAAGAAGAAGAAAAGAAGAAATAAAAGGAGCCAGAGGAAGGAATCTGCTCGGGGAACAGCTCCATGTGGGCTTGGCACCAGGGCACTCAGCACATCACCACCAAGGGATGATGGGTCCTGGCCAGACGGAGCTGCTGGCCACTTCAACGCCGAGGCTGCAGGAATTCTCTGCTGGAAAAGGGGCCACACAGCCAGGGATTCCTGAGGAAAGCAGAGAGGTGGGTGCTTGCCTCGCTTCCCTGCCCTGGCCAGGCTGGGAAGGGT